TTTGGTTTCAATAGTGGCTTTGCTTGCTCACACACTTTTGACAGGCTAGATCTCATCAGACAAGCTGTTTATACTCTAATCATAACTGCTCACTCTTTTGCTTGCACTATTCAAGCCTAAATGTGACTCAATATATATGTTTGACCTCCTGTTAAGACAACTTCTTAGCTACCAGTTTATTAAATGAGGTACTACACATTTTTATGTTGGGATCCTTTTTAAAACCTGATCTTAAGGATTAGTACCGCACTGTAGTAAATACACATTTTAATTTGAAGTTATTGTTTTAACATAAATAATGTGACAGCAGCAGTTATGTTGTGAATTACGAGTTTTAAAAAAATAATCGCTTTTAGTAAATGCATGGTTCTAAATTAAAGTAGGCGTGTTTCAAGTGGTCAAATTGGAAAACAGCAAAAAACTGTTTCCATCAATCGATATCCTTTCATTTTAAATTAACTGTTGAAAATATGTGAGGCTATTACGGTGATTAAAATTAGAGGTTATTTTGGTTTTTATTAATAACTGGCAATCTCTACTGCACAAGCCTACAGTTTGCACCGTGGTTTCATCAAATAGTCTCTTTGTGTGAGCAATGGGGTTCCGACTGCCTACTGATAAAGATAAAGTCATGAATGGATCATTACCACTGTCAGCAGTTATGGTCTCCTGGGTTTGCTTGTTTATGTGTGTGTGTGTGTGTGTGTGTGTGTGTGTGTGTGTGTGTGTGTGTGTGTGTGTGTGTGTGTGTGTGTGTGTGTGTGTGTGTGTGTGTGTGTGTGTGTGTGTGTGTGTGTGTGTGAGGAGAGTCAGGGGGGTGTTATCCTGGTTGTCTCCGTTAGTGCAGTTCAAACCTCCAAGGACTCCGATAATGCAATTTTCAGTAAGCCACGCAGCCTTGCCGGAGATAATTAGAGCAGACATGCAGTAACAGTGTCAAAAGGGAAGCAGCTCAGCCAGAATATTACTGTCGACATATGAACATACAGTATTAGAGCATGTACAAACATTGTAAAATACCATTAAAACGTTTTGCCGCGCGGATTTGTCAATGCGCAATTCAAACATGCTTAGCAAATAAATCATGATGTACATGTTATGGATCCGCTCCACTAAGGAGATACAAATAGATTAAGACATCGATTTGGGTGGCTTGATGAGGAGGTTGTAACCTTTCGAAAAAAACAGTGTCATATTTCCATCATGTTTTCCACATCATTTCATTTGTATGTTGAGTTGAGCTCTTTTAATCACATACTCTTTTTGTGTCCTCTTCTTCGATGATTAAATGGAATTCAATTGGAGAAATAGCGCCACAACTGGTAACCACAAACCACAAATCGCACAACTCAATCCATGTGCACCCATATTGGTAGTTGGTGAATCCACATTTTATTTTCCCCATTATCTGGACATTTAGTCGAATTTTGCATCACATTTGCATTGAAACTTAGCTATAGGAGTCACCAGGTCAATTATATCATGGACATTGCAGTTGCACAATATGGGTTTAAGACCATTGAGCACCAGAATATCCCCATCACAAGTATTAGTTTCTTTAAATAATAATAACTTTACCTTAGTATGCGTTATTCTAGGTAGGAAGGAAATCCAACAACCGGACCTTTTTCAGCTGTTTATTACTGGACGTCAACATTTTAAGGTTTATTCTCTTATTGGCTATATAATATGAGTTAGATGACTGTCTTCAAACTACTAAATGAACTAAAACTTCCACTGTGTTTTCATGAGAGGGTTAGCTGTAGCAGAGTCCTGCATGGGTCTGATTTTCAAGACCCGCTCCCGCCCCGCACCTGCGACGTGCATTATTATTTTAATATATTTATTATGCAACACCCGCGACCCGACCCGCATCATCTTTGTTTTACCCAGAACCGAACCGGTACCCGCGGGTACCCGACCTGATGCAGGACTCTGAGCTGTTGTACTGTTGAACGCTGCTAGGGTTAGGGTTAGGGTTACATATCAAACATAAGTCTGTTTTTTCTTAGTAGATACATTGACATAGTGGAGCCAATAAGAGAAGAGCCATCAGAATGGAAAAATACGCTATTAAGATCTGGTGGTGGGATCTATGATTGGTCATGTATTGACGTACATATACTGAACCCTGGTTCGCGGAGGACACCAAAAAAGTCCTGGAAAGACAAGGTAAACTTAACTAATGTGCATTTAAAAAAGAGGAATAGTTACGGTGAAAACTAAAAGGTACCACCTTTCATTTAGCATGAAGCACTGAAGGATAATTTAAAAAAGAAAGTAGAAACTGAGGTCATAGAAAACTATTTCTGATAAAAAGTTAGCAATGATTGAGAGTCAGACATTTCAGCTCACACTGCTCTGTAACTTTTATTCATGTGCCTTTTGTTATTCATGTTTTATTATCTTTGCTTTTAAATGAGTGTCTTTAGATGCCGTTTTATAATATGTTTCTTAATGCTCTTAATGTCTTTCATTTTTGTAAAGCACTTTGAATTGCCTTGTGTTGAAAGGTGTAAATAAACTTGCCTTGCCTTACATGTGGGACCTTTTTCACAAAAGTTAAGGCACCTTAGAGAGACCGGTTGTTTGTCATTGTCTTCAAAAACAGCCATAATGAGTGGTTTTTAGTCACGCTAGCAGTGTGGATCTTAGTATGGCTTTATCAGTGGCACTTCAACGGTCCTGACTGGAACATCTTTTGGATGCCATGCATGTTGAATCACGCATAATAAAACAGAGAGATCAGTCATTACTCACACAATCTCTTGTCAGGCAAGTGTAAACCCAAGTGGTTATAAGTGTTTGGCCAAACAATCAATGCTGTCTTTTTGCACCTTAGAAAACTTTTATTGTTGTTCCACCATTGTGCTTCAGTATTTCTACATCTCAGTGTGTATCCATTCATTCAGACATCTTTGTGACTGTCAGTTTGACTCAGGTCTACATTAGCAATGAGTAATTTCATCTATCCTGCACACATCACCCAGCCAGGGGACTCTCAGAGAGTTTTATAATTATACACTGAACAGCTCCCTTGACTGATTAGTTAATAACTTTTGAAGAACACATCATTTCTCTAAAAGCCTTGTGTTAGCCACTGTAATAGAAATACGTGTTGGAAGTGTTTTTCAGACCCCAAACAAAAGAGACTCATACAACAGCAGATTGCTATTGTTTCGAGAAAGAAGAGATATTTGTCAGTGTCAGTGTATAATTAATATCTGCAAACATAGCCTCGTCAGCTGATGACACTGTGGAATAAAGCTATCTTCATTCTTGCTCTGTGTGTCACCAGTGGGGATCTTACACTGAACAAAAATATAAATGCAACACTTTTGTTTTTGCTCCCATTTTTCATGAGATGAACTCAAAGATCTAAAACATTTTCTATATACACAAAATAACCATTTCTCTCAAATATTGTTCACAAATCTGAAAAAATCTGTGATAGTGAGCACTTCTCCTTTGCCGAGATAATCCATCCCACCTCACAGGTGTGGCATATCAAGATGCTGATTAGACAGCATGATTATTGCACAGGTGTGCCTTAGGCTGGCCACAATAAAAGGCCACTCTAAAATGTTCAGTTTTATCACACAGCACAATGCCACAGATGTCGCAAGTTTTGAGGGAGCGTGCAATTGGCATGCTGACAGCAGGAATGTCCACCAGAGCTGTTGCCCGTGAATTGAATGTTCATTTCTCTACCATAAACCGTCTCCAAAGGCGTTTCAGAGAATTTGGCAGTACATCCAACCGGCCTCACAACCGCAGACCACGTGTAACCACACCAGCCCAGGACATCTACATCCAGCATGTTCACCTCCAAGATCGTCTGAGACCAGCCACTCGGACAGCTGCTGCAACAATCGGTTTGCATAACCAAAGACTTTCTGCACAAACTGTCAGAAACCGTCTCAGGGAAGCTCATCTGCATGCTCGTCGTCCTCATCGGGGTCTCGACCTGACTCGTAACCGACTTGAGTGGGCAAATGCTCACATTCGATGGCGTCTGGCACGTTGGAGAGGTGTTCTCTTCACGGATGAATCACGGTTTTTACTGTTCAGGGCAGATGGCAGACAGCGTGTGTGGCGTCGTGTGGATGAGCGGTTTTCTGATGTCAATGTTGTGAATCGAGTGGCCCATGGTGGTGGTGGGGTTATGGTATGGGCAGGCGTATGTTATGGACGACGAACACAGGTGCATTTTATTGATGGCATTGTGAATGCACAGAGATACCGTGACGAGATCCTGAGGCCCATTGTTGTGCCATTCATCCACGACCATCACCTCATGTTGCAGCATGATAATGCACGGCCCCATGTCGCAAAGATCTGTACACAATTCCTGGAGGCTGAAAACATCCCAGTTCTTACATGGCCAGCATACTCACCGGACATGTCACCCATTGAGCATGTTTGGGATGCTCTGGATCGGCGTATACGACAGCGTGTTCCAGTTCCTGCCAATATCCAGCAACTTCGCACAGCCATTGAAGAGGAGTGGACCAACATTCCACAGGCCACAATCAACAACCTGATCAACTCTATGCGAAGGAGATGTGTTGCACTGCGAGAGGCAAATGGTGGTCACACCAGATACTGACTGGTTTTCGGACCCCCCCAGACCCCCCCAATAAAGCAAAACTGCACGTTTCAGAGTGGCCTTTTATTGTGGCCAGCCTAAGGCACACCTGTGCAATAATCATGCTGTCTAATCAGCATCTTGATATGCCACACCTGTGAGTTGGGATGGATTATCTCGGCAAAGGAGAAGTGCTCACTATCACATTTTCTTTCAGATTTGTGAACAATATTTGAGAGAAATGGTTATTTTGTGTATATAGAAAATGTTTTAGATCTTTGAGTTCATCTCATGAAAAATGGGAGCAAAAACAAAAGTGTTGCATTTATATTTTTGTTCAGTGTCTGTAATAACTCATGAGTCAGTAATTTTTCTCTATTGAAAAGTAAATACAATTGTTTTTTCTTTACAGGTTCCATTACAAGGTGCACCTACATCAAGTATCACTACTCCTCGGCTACGATACCTAAAAACATCTCCCCCAACATCTCCAAGACAATAAGGCAGGACGAGTGGCACTCCCTCCGTAAGTCTGCTACGATTGAATTATTTCTTGACAGCAAATCACTTTATTTATACCTGGAAATGCATTAGACTGATTACATTTCATTTCTCTAACAGAAATACAGAATTTTTTTAAATAACCAAGGAAGATACATAGAAATACATTAGCCGCAGAGTTATTCAATGCTCTGTCCTATCTTCAAATTTAATTGACTTTCCTCCCTTGAGCTTTCAGTGCCAGCTGTTAATCTTAAGTAGGAACGTGTCATTGTGTTCAAACATAGAGCACACTTTAGCCTTCATTTCATGTGATTTCTTCATTTGCTCTGGAAGTGTGCTGTACTATTTCATTTTCACTGCCCTCCTGGGGTTAGGGTTAGCAGCAAAGTGTTTACTTGATTAAACTCTTTGTTGTCGTAGTTAATTTAGGGAAATTGTTGCAGGAATCAAACCAACCACATTTCCAGTAAGGTGCAATCTCTTTAAGTAGTATGCCATTCTGCTGGTCAATGATCAATAATCGTTGATGGTACTTTTATTTCAAACTGCATTCATCCATACAACCACTTCCCGTTCCTCTGCAAAACATTTCATGTGCCATGTGTTACAGACAATAACCACCAACCCTTTTTAAAGAAATGCAGTTCAAAACTACATATAGGAAGTATGACAATAACTGAAAAACTAATTTAGAACTGGAATACTATTAAAAATCCTTAGATATTGTGTCCATCTTGACTCTGTAAATCTAGCTGCTCTTGGTGACCGTGACCTTTTTTTTACTTGATCAAATCCTTGCTCACATTGGGTAGAGGCGGGGTTCAACCTGGACCCTAAGTCACCACCCTTAGATGTTAAATGTCACAGATGTTAGGTATCAAATGTAATGTAAAGTTTTTCATGACATGTTCTAAACCCATGCATGGTTCCAAGGGCACAAATGCTTATGATGGCTCTGTGGCAAAGATCGTCAAGTTCAAGGACTAACAACATTGACATGGTTTTGCAATTTACTGTGCACTCCAACCTAGGCTTCCTCAATAATCTTTGATAGTTTGGTTAGTGAGTTAATCAGTCTATTCAACCACCTGGTTATGTTTCCAAGGATTAGTTCCAGAGCAAAAGACTGAAGACTCAATTAATCCTCATGTCATTGTATACCTTTGATTGACACTTGTTCTAAGTTGACCAACTGACTTTTTTTTAAGAGCCATTATCAGGTTGTACTGTACATTGAAAGAGTGCAACAGTCAAAAGCATCTTGATATGCAATTCACAAGGATTAATTCTCCATTCTATCCATTTTGGACGTTTACTGAGTTTTCCCCTTTTCATCCAAACTCAGTTTCAAATGTCAAATTTGCACATCGTATATCTCTCAATTTAATTAGTAGATTGTAATGACATTCGCTAAAAGCAATCATGTTCCTCAGGGCATAAATCCTTTTTAGTTGACCATTTTTACCCCAAGGGCTTTTCCTTTAGTGGCCCCTCAAAACAAACGTTATATTTTGTACTCTTTTACTTTCAGTTACGATATAGGTTGAGTCATACTAACTGCGTGTTTGTGTTTTATTTGTCCATAAGTCCTTCACCTGTAGAAAATAGGCTTAATAGTTGAAGGGCTTCCTCTCCTCAGCTCTGTGTGCCTGTTAGATATCAGCAGAAGTGCTGTCAGAGGAATCTAACGAGAATATATCTCCTTTAAGATACCTGCCATTCATGTCCGTTGTAGCTCTGGGCTTGTTGTAGCTTTAGCCGAGTGGAAACACACTTTGACCTCAAACTGTCAGTCTTGGTCTCAATAGCCCTCGACTGTCAGGTGACAGGCTTGGGAAAACACATCGTCTCTCTCTTTCTCTCCTAACGGCAGAAGACTTCTCTGTTTCTTCTGCCTTATTCCCACCATGCATCTCTGTTCTACAAAGAAGAAGGAGAAAAAGGTTTCTGTTTAATGGCTTATCAGCAGCAAATCCATGGTAGATGATTATATTATGTTTGGATTATTGTATTAATTGAAAGGTTTATTTGCAGGCATTTTTATTTTATTTACCATCCATTGAAATAGACACGCCTGAGCAGAAGCCACTGTTGCTTGTCTGCTGTTGAGGCATACAGTAGGCTTTCAGAGGACCTTTTTTTCCTCCAGCCTAAATTGGCTAAATCAGTGAATTGCATTTGTTGAACCGTTTATAGCATTACACTCAGCTCTAGACCAAACGTTTCCCACCAGGAGATCATCGACCCCAAATAATCCATTATAGATGGGCTTTTTACTTTCAGCCAAGGACAAAAGCGATAACATTATTGTGCTTAATGAAGGAGCTGCTGCTGTGTATGCAAATGCTTTGAAAATACTTAAGTTCTTGTTCATTTTCTACTTTGGTTGTGACTCATATTCATCGGGACAGAAAGAATGTGTTATATCTTCACTATCTTGGCTAGCTCTGGAAAACACATAGCTTATATTTATGGCAGGAAGGTCACCCCTCTCCAGTCAGAGATGTTTAATGTCCTTATTACCAGGCCTATCCACACAGCATCTTAGTGTGAGATAACTCCACTCCTCTAACCGATGGCCCTGTCACTACGATGTGGGTAAAGAAAAAGAAAAGGAAAAAAGCAAGAAAAGAAAAAGAAAAGGAAAAAAGCAATAGGCAAAAGGGTGAATAAACAATGCCCTGTCCACTGAGTGAGCCGATGCGTTCACTGCCGAATCAATGAGAAGGGCCAGATTAAATCACAGCACTGAATGACCCACTAATTAGAAATTGCATGTAGGCCTTGAACTGACGAGTCTCAGGGGATCTGATCTAACACACATTCAGACGGACTGTCCTGTAAAAGCTGGTAAAACCTATGTCTGATGTTGCATGGCAGCTGGATTCCCGTAATATCTCGACATCACGCAGATCGTGAAATCACACACATTTCCATCTTGTCAGTCTGTGTCTAATCCCACATGGCTGCACAAAAATCGGCGTTCTACCAGGAGCCACTGACAGCGAATATAGTTACACTTGATAGGAGTAAAACAATACGTTTGTGCCATGGAAAGACAAATGCATTTACACCTTTTTGACAATTGGCCCATTTGTCTAAGGTTGCATTTGATCCAAATCAGGCATTGAGGCGATACGCATAGGCTCGTAAGGGTGTGCCTATAGGCAGGGGTGGTTCTAGGGGGGGGGGGGGGGCAACAGGGGTGCCCCCGTAACACTGACCAGGGACCCTCCTGTGGCCCCCCTCCAAAAAAAAGGTTAGAATATTACGATTTATTGGGACTAAATCAAATCAGAGACCCGGATGTACAGTGGAGATTCAACTATTCATAACCTTATAAAAGCAAATATTGTTTTTTTTTTAATTAAATTGTCACTTAAAGTTATTAAAACAAATACTCTAAATGAAAACAACTACTGAAACAAAGGACTGTAACTTAAATGTACTAAAACAAATACCTTTACAAAAACAAATACCAATTACTGTATTTTATGTTTATTTTACACAATTACTTTATACTGTCTTTGTCTTTTTAACCCGCTTTTATTATGCCTCTCTCATGAAATAACTGGCCCCCGCCTGGCCTACCCAGTAAAGTTGGTCTAGGACCGCCACTGCCTATAGGCCACAGCAGTGTGACGTTGCATCGTGTTTCTACAAAGGTTAATTCTGTTTCAACTTTGGGTCACATTTTCTTTTTCGCCATCCCCACTGCCCAAACGCACTTCCCATATTCAAATAAAAAGGGAGGACCTGCGTTTTCACCACCTGATTTGGTCTAAATAAGCCTAACACACTCTGTGCAGCAAGACCTTGGAAGTGGAAGACCAACTACTGCTTTTCACGGATGAGTAACTCCACTTCAGCTCAGCCATTTAAGACTGTTTGGTCAGCAGGCAGCAGAGTTTAATAGTTTGCTGTTCAACTTCAGAGACGGCCTGGACCAAATCCACCCACAGAGCCTCAGGCCTTGTATGGATTAAATAAGAATGACAACCTAGTCTTGACTTTCATGAAGTGTGTGAAATTGAGCTCAGGCAGGCCTGACAATTCTTCCCTCTCCCATAACATAGATTTGAGGAAACCGTGGGGTGACATTGACACCGCTTCAAAGACTCAGATATGAACACGATACTCATTTGTTTCCGTCAGTCAAAAAAGCTGCAGAGGCACCAAAACCAAAACCCTCTTTTCTGTTGCTGCTGAACATCAAAGCAACAGCAGAGAGTACACAATATCCCTTCTGCCACCCCCATTGTCTGTCACAGATGCAGACAGCAGTGAGGATGCACACATTTTTTGACACTGGCTTTTAGAGAGGAAAGGATGAAAGGAGGTTTTCTCATACTGCAGCTTAGGGATTTTGTTACTTCAAAAGAAAGCATAAATTGTGAGCTGGGGAAAGCTGTCAATGAGTGACAGCGTATAATCCAAGGTAGCAGCTAAAGGTTGTGGCTGAGGCTAATTGTTCACCAGGCAGCCACTCCGACTCATTCTCATCAAGCTGATGTGGCTGCTGCAGTCGGTAGATTATGCGCTGAGCGGGGCTGCATGAAGATGACAGGGATTTAAGTCATTGTGAAGCATTGATTCATTGCCATTTAAAATCTTTGTCGCTGCTTTAATACTGTAAACCTGATAAGGTAGATCCTCCAGCCTCCACCCCATCACAGGCTCTTTCACACTTCCAAACAGCACAAACAGAGAGTGTGTTTTTGGCTTTCTTGGCTTCAACTAGTGTGATTCGTCAGTTGGCCAATCTATGTTGTACTTTCCGGAGTTTTTGTGGCATTATTTAAGTTTGGATAAGCTGACTTGGAGAAAGCAGCAAAATAAAGATAGATTTTGAAAGTATCTAACTAGGAGATTCAAGCCAATCGTATAATCATTTTGAAAAAGGAACTTTGAAGATGCAATAGACTGGTATGCTGAGTAAATGTTTGTTTTTTCTGTATGATCTTGTATTTTGGCAGAATAACAAGGACCTAAAGTCAAAATATTTTTAAAGCTTCAGTTCTG